TTGCATGGCACTACCGACATGCGATAGGTTGATTCGGCGTTGCAAAGGGGTTCTAGGCGAAGGTGTTTATACACTGCTTGAGGTAAGCCCCAGGCAACTTGTGGTAATTGCAAGCTCTCGCCTGCAAGTACACGCATTTTCGAGCCCTAGCCACCCAAGTTAGATACTGTCAAGAATTTCCTTATCCCGAATGCTTGCGCACATCGCCTCGGGTTCGAATGAACCTGCCCAGACTGCCAAGGCATATTGTTTTCCACCAGACATCCGGCTCTTGGATGATCGCAGGTTTGCTTGACGAATTGACAAATAACAACTGTCGAATGCCAAGGTGATCACTAGAAACGTACAACCTTGCAGCTGGTGTCTGCGACAGTGGATCAAACACCAGTATATCTCTATTGTTGGTGGCTGCATTTGTCAATCGCGCAATGTATCGGGTGCCCTCGAAGTATGCGTATCGAACATATATTTTCTTTGAAAGGGCGACTTGTGATACGTTTCTCGCGAACTCGCCGCACTTTCTCTCGGCATACCAAACGGCCATTCGACGGCTGGTCTGTTGATCAAGAGCCCGAACTGCGATGTCGCTGCAGACTTCCAAAGGAAGGCGGGAGTGCGTCGCCCTTCTGATTATCGAGGCGAGCCAGGACCGTAACCAGCGGGAACGCTGGCAGTTCGCTAATTGTGATGATTCGAAGTCGGGTGCAGTCACTTCGTAGGTCTGCGAAAAGGTCTCAATGGATATTGAACTGTAGCAGTCAAGGTGACAGCCAATCCTCTTCTCGTCGTTCTGGCATCTCCCGCGACACTGAACATACTCAATTTCTTGAGAGCTGTCGAGGAAGCCTACTACACTGTATGAGTACGGCTGAGATCGCTCAGCGCCGTCTCTCCGCACTGGATCCATTAGAACTATGATACAGAAGATAAAAGAGCTACCTTACCGGCGACGATTGTGTCGCCTAGGGCGATCTGGCATCGACAAAGGCCACAAGATTGCGGAACACAGACAGACTTCATTGGGGTCTTGAGGCGTGTATATGGTGTTGCTAATTAATGATTTGATTTGATTCATTCTGTCAGACTGCCCCAGGACATTCGTTACGGTACTTGTTTCGCCCCAAGCGATCTGACTCATGCTTAACCAGAAGTATGAATAAGGCTAGCAAGGGTATCCTTATATAAGGGGATCATACACTCACTATATAGATATGGGGTTTCTTCCCATAGACATTCATTCGTCATACTCATCAATATACACAGAATGACCCCTGCCTGTCTAACTGCTGCTCGATAGTTATGAGCCCAGTAGACTCACGCAGCCTCTCTGGACTCTGAATAGCTCCAGAACTGCCACTACACCCCTGAACTATTGTCACAGTAGCCAGGCGGGATTTCAGTTATTCCACGAGTATCAAAACATCAACAGTGCCATTATTGATCATGGCATCCCGTCATTCTTCCATTCGCCTTCAGGGGCAAGGAGATTGGTCAAATTGGTACACCTTCATAAGGATGAACGCCAAGGCTAATGGAGTCTGGGACTTCTGTGATCCAGAAAGATCCACCCAACCCATTGAGCCTATTAGACCTACGCTTGCGGAAGAGCCGAATGTGCAACAGCTCTCTGTCTACGAAGCACAGAGTAGAATATATCCTGAAGAACTCAAGCGTTATGAGAGACGTGTTCACGCTCTCCAGAAGACAATGAGGGATATTACAACAACGATTGAGCCATCAATGCTGTCTTGGCTTGGTGATGCAGATACGCCAAGGGAGATCCTGACGATCCTTAAGAGAAGGTATCAACGGACCCCTGAGGCTGAGAAGATCTTAGCGTATAAGAACTACCGAGATCATCTCATTCGAATCAAGCGGTCCAACACCACGGATTGGATCCAGACGTGTGAGACTTACCTCACAAAGGCCGTCAGACTTGGCTGTGAAGAGATGAGCGTTACTCATCAACAAGTAACCCTTCTCACCACTTTGAAGGCAGTCTACCCTGACTTTGCTGCTCCACTGGCTAGGGAAACTACCAAGGAGGCAGTCGACAATATTACCACAGAGAACAGACTCTCTGGCATCACCATTCTTCATCAATTCAGAGCTTGGCTCGAGGCTGGCTATGGTGAAGACCACAATACAAGAGGAGGAGCTTATGCAACTTGGCAGCAGAAGAACGAGGAGCAATCTTCTCAGGCATCTTCCAAGGCTGCCACTTCCTCCAACCTCACGTCATCGACTGGGAAAGAAAACAGCGAGCCAGGAAAGACAATTCCAACTTGTCCCATTGATGGGAAAAGGCACTGGTATGTTGAGTGCTGGTATCTGAACCGTCAACTTCGCCCAGAAGGACTTCAGCTTAGCGCTGCCAAGGAAGCGCAGGCGACAGCTCTTCTAAGTAAGAAGACTTGGATAGCGGAGAAGATCAAGAAGTACAACGAAACCAACAACTTTTCAGTACCGCAATCAACCCATTCAACCACTTCAACCGGAAAAGTTCACCATATACGAGCAATCACACCTTCAGACTCTGATACGGACTGGTCAGACTCCCTCTGCACCCCGGAAGAACCAAACGGCAGCTGTCAGCATGTGGCGGATGGAGAAGAGGTTAGGAACGCAGTTCTCGTCGATACTGGCGCTTCTGACCCTCTATCATGGGACAGATCACGATTTCGATATCTTCAACCAGTTAAGAAGGCGTTTGACACACCCAACGGACCGATTCAAGCAATCGCCAAGGGCTCTCTCATCGTCAGAGCATTCAACCCTACGGACGTAGAATTAGAGCTTGCTATTCCCAACGCATACCTGATTCCACAGGCATCAACTACTTTGATCAGTACCATCAAGCTAGAAGAACAAGATCTTTGGTTTTCAGCAAGAAAACGATGCTTTGAGGATGGCGACGGTAACTCTGTGTATAGAGTATGGTCAAGCAATTCACAGTATCACCTTGAACGCCCACACGAGCAGTCTGGGAATTCCTTCTTCACGTCAAGCAAGAAACCAAGATCTCAGAGCAATGCAACGGGTCGTCTTTGGCATCAGAGATTAGGACACCCAAGCAAGGAGGCTCTACAGCATCTGAACAATGCATGCACAGGTGCTGGCGTTGAGAATCCACACACTGACGATTGCGAGGCTTGCCACTTAGCAAGGGCAAAGCGAATAGTTTCACGACGTTCTCCAACATACAAGACCACTTATCCTTACGAAAGGGTAAATGTGGACTTCTTTTTGATGGAAGAAGCCTATAATGGTGCAAGGGTCAACATCATTGCCACCTGTGGTCACACCAAGCACAAGCTCACGAGAGCCTTAGCCCATCGACGTCTCCTAGGTCTCCAATTCATCAAGCAGTTAGTCAAGTTCCTCAACACTCAATATGGGATCATCGTCAGGTTTATCCGTTTGGATGGAGACATGGCTCTTCAAACGAACATAGATACTTTCACTGCGGACGAAGGTATCATACTGGAGCGAACCGCACCATACACATCTGCTCAGAATGGACCAGGGGAAAGGGCTGGAGGAGTCGTGTTCAACGATTCGAGAGCAATGGGGATTGAATCCAACTTCCCGTCCGACTTATGGCCGGAGATTACAGCAGCATCAGTATACGTTGGCAACCTGACTCCGCGCAGGAAGATACATTGGAAGACACCCCAAGGCGTTCTCAACACGTGGCTCAATGCCAACAGAGGAATGAATAGGCCGGAGAAACCCTCAATTGCACACCTAAAAAGGTATGGATGCAGGGCCTACCCTCTGACGAAGGATTACCTCGCTAGCCGCCAGCGAACAGCCAAAATGGCACCAAGAGCGCATATTGGCTATCTATGTGGCTACGACAGTACCAACATCTATCGAATCTGGATCCCAGCTTTACAACAAGTATTCCGGACAAGAGATGTCACCTTCGACGAAACTATCGTCTACGACCCAGCGGTAGAAAGCTCACCAGATGACTTAGAACTGCTCAGAGCACAGGCTGGTCAGCTAGATCTAGTCGATCTCAACCTTGATATTGACCTCACGATCGAGGCAGTCATGAGTGATTCAGCCTACCTAGGGAGCATTACAAGCCCACCCGCAGCATTAGCTTCTGAATCCCGACAAGCACGACAAAGCAACTCAACAAAAAGTTGTCCAGATCAACAACCATATAACTACGGATCTGATGGCTCTGATACCAGCCTGGATATCTCTACAGCTGGGGGGATGGAAGCCACAGAACCCACCACAGACTCAAGCTCTCTGATAAATCCTTCGTCTTCCCCTGACACTACTGGAGGAGACAGAGAATCAGACCACATTTCAGATAATCAAAATTCCCACGAGGAGATTCTTGATACCATCATTGTCAGAACTGATAGTGACACCTCGCAAGACGAACAAGAAGGTCACCAGGCAAGCCAGAACGATCAAACAGAGAGGGATCTAGGTCAGCTACCTAGGGGGGCGCTAGAAACAGCGGAGGACTCCAATGAACCACTCAGTTCAACCCCGGACGTCACTTCATCTAACATGTCCACCAACATTGCCAGAAAGCGACAACAACACGATACTGCGCAAGGAGTTGATTTAGCAAACATCATTCAAGCTCCAAGGACTCGAAAACCTAGCAGGAAAGCACAGGATTACAATGATAGCGCCTACCAGAAAGGATACATGGCATACATCACCACTAATGGGTCTGCATACCACTCTGCAAGCCTGAATCACAACAACAAACGACATAAGAGAGATCTTCCTCCGCCACCTAGGAACTGGAGGGAAGCTCAACGACACCCGTTCTTCACTGACTGGAAGAAAGCCTGCGAGGCAGAACTTCAGCACCACTGGAACATCGGTACGTGGAAGAAGATCAAGTCTAGCAATGTCAACACAGAGCAACACTTCATCATACCGCTATTATGGGTTTTCACGTACAAATTCGACAAGCATGGGTACTTGCAAAAGTTCAAAGCAAGAATATGCGTTCAGGGCAATCTTCAGCCTCCTAGTGATTTAGACACCTCAGCATCGACGCTTGCAGCTAGGACTTTTAGAACCATGATGGCGCTTGGAGCCAGATTCGGTCTGAGATTCTGGCAGAAAGATGCTGTCAACGCCTTCACAAATGCATGGCTAGATGAATTGGTCTATGTCCACTATCCACCAGGCTTTGAGGAGTATGGGCAAGTTCTACTGCTTCTCCGGGCTCTTTATGGCCTCAGAAGGTCACCCCTTCTCTGGCAACGCCACATCACAAAGACGATGAAGGAAATCGGTTTTACCCAGCTTCAAGAGGATGAATGCGTCTTCATTAGAAATGGGATCCTCATCTTTGTCTTTGTGGACGACATCGTGATTGCTTTCCTACCTAGCAAGGAGGATGAGGCAAGAACACTCACTAACAAACTACAATCTCATTATCAACTAAGAGACATGGGAGATCTTCGATGGTTCCTAGGCATTAGGATCATTCGCGATCTCAACGCCAGAAAGATATGGCTCTGCCTTGACAGCTATATTGATTCACTGGTCACTAAATACAAGATTAATCCTCAAGGAGGATGGCCTCAAACACCTATGAGTCTTGAACAGCTGGTTCAATACAACGGCCAAGCTTCCAAAGAGACGATCAACAACTATCAGAGAAAAGTCGGCTCACTCAACTACGCCGCGGTGATTGGGAGACCAGACATCTCGTACACCACATCGCGACTCTCTGAATACCTTCAGAACCCGGGCCCAGACCACATCGTAGCAGCAGACAGATGTATGGCATACCTGGCTCGAACGAAAGGACTTGCAATCGAGTACGACGGATCTGCCGAAGGAAGACTCTACTGCTCCTCAGACGCTGCCTTCGCAGACGACCTCAACACTCGAAGGAGTAGTCAAGGGTATGTGACAATGCTGTTTGGAGGCCCTATCGACTGGAAAGCCACCAAACAGAAGTGTGTCGTCACCTCATCAACTGAAGCAGAGTTGATTGCTCTCACCCAGGCAACTCGAGAGTATATCGCCACGCTCAGGCTGATGAAGGAGTTAGAGATCCAACCGGACGGATTTCCAACCATACTCTGTGACAACCAACAAACTCTTCGTCTCCTCACTGCTGAGAAACCTCATCGGGTCTCGAAGCTGAAACACATCGACATTCAGAACCTATGGGCAAGGCAAGTGTGTCAGAAAGGAGATATCAACTTCCACTGGATGGATACAAACCACACTATTGCCGATGGGCTCACGAAGCCTCTCAACCGTGTTAAACACGCCGATTTCGTTCGTTCACTTCGTCTCGTTGACATCACTCACCTGCTGGGACAGGAAGAGGAGTGAAGGAGCAGACATAGCTTCAGGCAAAGCCTGAACCTAAGGGGGTGTGTCAGACTGCCCCAGGACATTCGTTACGGTACTTGTTTCGCCCCAAGCGATCTGACTCATGCTTAACCAGAAGTATGAATAAGGCTAGCAAGGGTATCCTTATATAAGGGGATCATACACTCACTATATAGATATGGGGTTTCTTCCCATAGACATTCATTCGTCATACTCATCAATATACACAGAATGACCCCTGCCTGTCTAACTGCTGCTCGATACATTCCTACTCGGTTTTGGCCGCTTTAGTCAGCAGCTATGCCCGGATAGCGGGGTTTGGCCAACAGCCAACGCGCTCCGGACGTTAATCCGCATCGCCCCACTTCGCCAGTGCAAAACACCGACCAGCTGTCTCTAAATTTCCCACTTTTGCTCTCCAACCTCAACTACCCTTGGCTGCCACCTCGTGTAGTTCGCGGTTCTCTACTAATGTACACGTGTGTCTAGGCTCTATTAAGGTCTTTCTCCTCGTACAACGGTTCAGCGTACCTACAGTCTCCCCCCAAAGTTCAGCTTGATCTGCTTTGCGACTCGATCCCGTGTTGCCCAAGGATCTCGGTCTGTTCTATGAATCTGATTGCCTTGGCGGCTGCTTTGCGCTTGTTCAGTATGACCCGGAGATTGTGTCGTCCTGGGAGGGTTCCGAATTTCTGGCACCGGAGTTGTCGGAATCTGCGGCATCGCAGCAGGATGTGCGATACCGTTTGCCGTCCTTCCCGGCATGGGCAGTTGGCGTTGGTGATGCCCGGTACTCTTCGGTTGAAGAGGAAGTCCTGGAGCCCGATCTTTTCCGTGCGCATCTGAACCAGGACTGCGCTCTGGCGTTTACTGAGGCCTTCGTGGAGTTCGAGGACCTTCTTTGTCGGCTTCGGCGTGAGACGGAACGATGTTCTCCCTCGTGTCTCGGTTTCCCATTTGGTTTGCCACGTGTGGTGGGACTGTTTATGCGACCATGTCTTGACTGTCAACCTGAGTTTGAACAAGACTCTCGGCTTGTCTACCCTGGAACCTGTCTGTCCGTCTGGCCTCCATCCCGTCGCCTCCTTGGCGGCGATGTCTGCTGCTTCGTTGCCCTGGATGCCGATGTGGGCAGGTACCCATCGGAGCTCGACTTCGAGTCCCTGTTCTCGGAGGGCTTGTGTCTTTTCTGCGATGGCCTTGAGAATCGTGTGAAGTGGGTAAGCTGGTACTTTTCGGGCGCGAAGACGGACGCATGAGTGAGAGCCCACGTCTCGGCTTTCCGAAGCGCTTCTTGGAGCTTCTGGCAGGTTTCCTCCGTGCTGTCTCCCACGGCAAGGATCGCCACGTCGTCGATGAAGCCGGTGGCTTTCGTGTCTCCGGTCTCATTGCAGCTATCCAAGAGATCCGCGTTGTAGAAGAGGTAGAGTATCGGCGAAAGGGGCGACCCTTGTGGGATGCCGGTGTCGAGTCTGTAGGTCTCGGATCGGAATCCGTCCACGTGGATCTCCGTCTCTCGGCATCCGAGGAAACTGGCAACCCAACGCACCGTCGCTTCGTCGATCCGCCTCTTCCGCAGGTTGTGCAGGAGTCGGCGGTGCGAAACGTTATCGAAGGCGCCTGACACGTCCAGGAGAAGTAGGCTTGCTACCATTCCCTGTCCTGAACCCCAGGCTTCGTATATCCTATCCACGATTTGGTGCAGTGCGTGTTCCGTCGACCGACGTCTTCTCCCGCCCATGTGGCTATCTGGCAGCAATCCGTGTGTTTCGGCAAGGTAGCTCAGTCTCCTCGCTATGATGGCATCCATGATCTTGCCCACCGTGTTCAGGAGGGCTATCGGCCTGTATGCTTTGGGCACTGTGTAGTTGTCTTTGCCTGGCTTCCTGAGTACCACCGTGGTGGACTTTCTGAAGTGTTGTGGACAATATCCTAGTCGGAGGCTCTGATTGAATATGCGGACGAGATATGGCGTGATCCAAGGTCTCGCCACTTGGAGTGCCAGGTTGGTGATGCCGTCGGGGCCCGGGGCCTTCATCGGTGCTGCTTCCTGGATGGCATCCTCTACTTCGCTTTCCGACACTGGCGGCAGGCCAATCTGGTTGCTGTACGATGCGTTGTCGATGTCTTCGAGATTTGCCTCGGGTGGCGGGAGGAAGAAGGTCTCCTTGAAGAGTGCAGCTTTCTCTTCGGGCGTTGCGGCGACCTGAGACGTGTTGGGGTTCCTGATTTCCGGCGTAACGGTCGGCGGCTGGCTCTGTCTGTTCCGGGCCCATTTGGCGATCTTCCACAGCGATCTAGGTGACTCGGCCGCTGTTTCCACTGCTTCGCGATGTGCTTGTTGAAGAGCTTTCTTGATGATGCGGCCTTTCTTGTTGCGTGCTGTTCTGTATGCCTCCCAGCTCTCCTCTGTCTGTCGCTCGCTGTGGTCGCGGCGGAATCGTTTCGTCTCGGCCAGGATGGCTGCGCACTGCTCGTCCCAGCCTCTCCTGGATTTTGGCGAAAGGGTGCTGGTCGGGACCGCGGTTTTGATAGCGACTGAGAGGGCGTCTATGGTTTTCCCTACGTATCCGTCGAGCGCTGCCTTCGTTCTTGGTCTTCGTAGCTGCGGCAACGATCCACGGAGAGTCTCGATAAATGTTTCCTTATCAATAGCTTTCCACTTTCGTTTCTCCTCTCGCTATAGCTCGGTCATTGCTAGGTGCAGCGACGTTGCTATGGGTAGATGATCGGAGTCGTGGTCGATGTTGTTGTCTACTTCGCATCTGATCATTCGGTCAACGAGACCTAGGGTAACAAGACAGAGGTCGATAGTTGTCCGGTGATCTCCTTCTTCAGCCTCCCCACAGCTCATGGTGTAGGTTGAAGTCACCGACGACGATTTGCTCAACGTGCTGGTGTGTTTCCAGTGTTGTTCGTAGCTGCTGTAGGACCGGCTGTCGATCTTCCTCCCTCGTTGACGGTTCGTACACATTGTGTAGCGCCAGGCTTGTTTCAGTACAGTCGTCTATTGCGGTAGTCGGAGTGCAGAGATCTCTGCTGTTCTCCCTAATTTGCCATCGAGAGTGGTCGAGCTTCTTGTTGACAAAGAAGCAGACCCTGGCCGGTCCTCTTCCCTCGCTAGAGGGGTAGGACAGATGAATCGGTCATTGGCCGGATGGTGGGTTGTTGCGCTGTAGGGGTTCCTCCATGGTTCCTATATAGCGATGATGTCGTAGTTGTCGATGCTCAGATCACGGAGGAGCGTCGCCACGACTGTATTCTTCGACTGTCTTACGTTGTATTGTAGTATTGTAAGTGTGTGTTGTGCGTTCATTCGCTGTCGTCGACTACAATCTCCATCGCTGTACTGTCGTTTGTCATCTGTGTGTTGGGTTCGAGCGCCTCAAGTGCTCTTCACGATCGGACGATCGTGCGCTTCGGGCGCGTGGTCTCCGCAGCTACGGTGATCAGCGCCTCCGATTCCTCGGTAGCTGTCGGGTTAGGACTCTTTTGGATCTTCCTCGTCGGGAACCTGCTCCGGCTTGGTCGGTTTCCCTGGGATTGGCCTGGTTCCAACGTCGGCCGTATGGTCCTCGGGTTCGGCCTGGTCCAGGTTGCCTTTGTGAGAAATAGACTACAGAAACGAAGTGCTTTTCTGACGTTGCATAAGTATTCGTCCTTTCGTGGAATCCACGTTCGATATTGGATCGCAACCGGACTTAAGTATTTCCTTTCCGATCTCGATATTCCCGACCGTGGGGTAAGATTCGCGAATAGCTCACGTGAGCGAGCCAATCGAACTCTTACGCATGAAACCAAAATTAACCCCCTAAGTGACACTGGAGCTCCGCCTGCTTTCCAGACAAATGCTACTTATTGGGGTGCCGCCCTGAGCACAACTAACTATCAGCCGTGTCAAACTTCCACGTCATCACACCCCAGAATACACCGAGCCCATCGAAATCCAAACTCAACCGTCAATACTGAAGTGGAACGGTTGGTCCCTTTTATTCCGGTGAAGCTCGTTAACAGCCTGATTATTCTAAGGAAGAAACTGATCTTCCTTAAAGAACGTCGCCCTCGAGCCCGCAGGATAACCGCTACCCCACTGTTGTCCACCGTGACTATTACGTCGAATCATTCAATCCTATCGTCCTCTCAGACTTCTCAATTCGAACGATGCTGCAACTGCAGCGTGCTTCTGTCGATTTCTCGGCGACAAAGCAGAAAGCCGTTGACGACGCGAAGAGGGCGCAGATATCCATTGCTAAGCTATGCGCCGCTGCTGGCGAACATCCACCGCCGTACGTGCTATCAGAGCTTATCGGCAAGGGAAGCTTTGGCCGTGTGTATAAGGCGACGGGCCCAGCGCCAGGTCAAGTCGTCGCCGTCAAAATTATCAGCATTGAGGAAGGAGACTCGCTAGAGCCAGGTGCGGCAGATACGTTGAGCGATATTCTCAAAGAGGTAAATACCTTGAAGCGGCTGAGAAACAGCGGAGCGAAAAATATCAACGCAGTCATCGACACTCTGCTCGTCGGACACTCAGTATGGATGATCACGGAGTATTGCGCCGGTGGTAGTGTAGCGTCACTCATGCGACCGACTGGCGGGCTTCCTGAGAAATGGATCGTCCCGATTCTTCGCGAGGTCGCCGAGGCAATCTATTGGGTCCATCAGGAAGGCATCATTCACCGCGATATCAAATGTGCCAATGTCCTCGTCACCGAGCTCGGGGGAGTCCAGCTTTGCGACTTCGGCGTGGCGGGAATCATTGAGACGCGGTTCGATAAGAGAAGAACAGTGACAGGGACGTTGCAATGGATGGCTCCTGAATTATTCGACACCACTGTGTCGTACGGCATGGAGGTTGATATTTGGGCTTTCGGATCTATGGCTTATGAGGTTGCCTCCGGGTTACCACCAAACGCAACCACAAGGATCGATATTCCTCGCTTCGGCTCCTATTTAAAACAGAACTGTCCTCGTTTGGAGGGTGATCACTACTCATCCCAGCTCAAGGATCTCGTTGCTTACTGCATGGTCGAGGATCCAAAATTACGACCTCACATACAACAAATACAGACACACCCGTACATCTACAACACAAGTGAGAAATACCCGGCTGCTTCACTCTCTAGGCTTGTGGGCGCCTACAAGGCTTGGGAGGCACAGGGAGGCAGCAGACAATCCTTATTCTCGGCGGGTGGTGCTCAAGGACCTCCAAACGATCTGTCTTTCACCCCGAACGATGAATGGGTTTTCCATGACAATAGCGGCTTAGACCAGTCTGGACTCGACGATGCAGAAACCATATACGAAGTCTACGGCCCTGAGCTCAGTGTTCACCAGTCGCCTCTATTGCACCCTCATCGTCGTCGTCACCTGCCACCGAATATGAAAGCATTCAAAGCCCCATTGGAGAAGCTTTTCGATCCTCATACCATCTCTAACTACGCCGACCACGCCCGTGCTGTCTATACAAGAACAACCTTATCCGACCTACCCCTTCGGAACGACGACTCAGCGCACTTAACTGTTCGCGAATCATTAATCGACCTTGATGCATCGTGGATCGATTCCGCACCGGCGCAGGTCAATGACCTTCATACAATCAAGGTCAGACCGCGTTCCGCTGATGCGACAGATGTAAATCGCCGAACTCAGGATTGGACTTTTCCCGCGGTTTTCCCAGCTTCTGCGAGACTGGATCTGTCGTCCTCCGATTCAAGGTTTTCAGACACAAGTACAATCAAGAAGGTTGATTGGAGCGAACCGGATAACTCTACGAAACGCCGGACGCAAGACTGAGTCTTTCCGGGCTTTGTACCCCCCGCCGAAATTCAAACCCTGTCGTGTGGCACGGATGGCACCTATATACCCACTAAATTTAGTCGAATGTCCGCCCTGAGTCTGATCGATCTTGACGCTAGCATTGCGCCGACATCTATGGACCGCCCTTCTACTGCAGTTTCGGATGCTACCTCGAATGGTTCAGAAAATGCTCATACACCCTTTGAATTTGAATCGCACGCAAATGGACCAGAGGGTGCCGCAACAGACCGAGAGCCGTCGATATATGTGTCTGATAGTGATGGTTCAAGCCATGAGCTATCCATAGACGTGCCCGACGGCATCGATGTATCTTGCCCACAAAGTGTACAATCGAATGATCCTAGCGCCATGCCGGATAACACTGGTCAGGCTTCTAGTGTACCATTTGTGAACCAGGAGAGGATCCTTCCACAAGCACCATATTCAGTTTCGCAGAACGTGATGCAAGGAATTAGCTCACCGGATGAGGTCAAAGATGAGCTACGTCGAATGATTTCTTGTTTGGGGGAACATCTTCAGGCTGCGAATGATTTCATGGGAGCACTGCCTGTCCGTCAATCTGGATGTCGAGGGAGCCATGTTCGAGCATATCTCGTTACCCATGCAACTGAACACTCGATAATGTATGACCTTCGACCTGATTGATCAATTCTGAGTCCGGTACTTTGTCGTCAATGAAATTCTGAAGCCACCCGCAACTCTTATCAGATGCAGACTTATGCAGCCACGGCTTTCGAAGCGCCATGTAGACTGTTGTCTAGCTGGGGAGCATTGTGCCACGAAGAACCGCTCTTAAGTGCTGCAATTTCGAACGAAAATACGACTGAGGGCGGGCATTGAGTCCTTTGGCGCCTAGCGAAGTCCCTTTGTAGTAGAGCCTGCATGCCGCACGGTGTTCGACGATATAGGCATGAGGTCCAGCGCGTCACCTGCTTCAGCTCAAGCCGAGACCGGCAGGAGACAGAAGAAAGAAACGTATGCGGATCTGGTATACAAGGCGCTCATCAGCCAAGACGCACATCAAATGACGTTAAAGGACCTCTATCAGTGGTTCATAGATAACACCGAGAAGCCAAAAGAACGGCAACGAGGCTGGAAGAATAGTGTCCGCTCCAACCTTAGTCTGAACCAGGTTAGTTCTTATGTTTGCATCCTACTCGGATTGCCTCCAGAATCTTTCTCTGTTTTTCTGCTTTTCCGTTTTTCAGAAACTAGAAAGAAGACAGAAACGAAAAGTGACAGCGCCTGCGTACGTCCATAGAAGCGAAATTGGTTAACGTTGTTCGCTTAGGCATTCCAACGACTTGAAGGCAAAACGTCTTGCTGGAGTCTCGCAGCTTGTTTCGTAGAGGGCATTCGTCCAACGCATAACTACCGAAACTCCCGAAGGAGAAACAACCCCGTCATGTCGACCAAGAAAAACAGAATGGTGGTCCCTAAACCTCTGGTCTCGAGGATTCGCAAGGCCCGGAGCAAGAACCTCAGACGTCCCGCAAGCCGTATCGACCCCCAATCTTCAGATGGCGTCTCGTCCCACTCGTTACAAAATCAACTGTTGGCCGAGCACATCCCTGACTTCCAGAAATGGGGTTCCACAGCCACCATCCAGGCTTCCTATTCTATGATGTGAGATGCAGCATGGCCTCTTGGGGGTTCCAAGTATGAGCCTGCGTGGATCGATTTGGAGACGCATCTGCCATGGTGCTGTGCGTTTTCCCCTTCCCTTGGGCTGTGGTAAACCCTACTCCTAAAGGCAA